CTCAGCAAAGTAGGAATAAAGTGCACTTCCTTAACTTAATAAAAAGCATTTACAAAACACAATGGTTGCCATCATAACTAATGGTAAAAGAGTGACTACTTTTCTTTAAGATTAGGAACAAGGCAAGGATGTCTACTCTTACCATTCTTATTCAACAATAAGTACAGTAAGTTCTAGCCCCTATAATAAGACAAGAAAAAGAAATGAAAGGCATATGAGTTAGAGAGAAAGAAATTAAAATGTCCCTCTGCAGATGACATAGCTATGTAAAAAAATTCCAAATAATCTACAAACAAAACAAAACAATAAACACCTTTTAGTATGGTTGACTTGCTATAAGTGACTTCAGCAAGGTTGCAGAATACAAGAAAAAATACAAAAAGTAATCACACTACTTATATAGAAATGTGGAACTTCCTAACAAGGAAAATGTGGAAACTGATTACAAACAACACTATTTCCAATTCCTGTAAAGAAAATGAACAAACCTTATACAAAAAAATAAGTATGCTGAAAATGACAAAATGCTGATGAAAGAAATCATTAAACTAAGTAAATGGAGAGATACACTGTGTTAATGACTGGAAGACTCAATATGTTTGGCAAAGGTGCAAAATCAGTTAAACAGTAAAGATAGCCTTTCAACAAATGGTACAGGAGCAACTGACTATCCATAGGCAATCTAACCTCATGCTAAGTTGCACACCCTATAAAAAAACTTACTCAAAAGGGATCATAGAAATAAATGTAAAATGTACAACTATACAACTCAGAATAAAAACTTGGAGAAAAATCTTTGGGACCTAGGCCTAGGTGAATAGTTCCTAGACTTGACACCAAAAGCAGGATCCATAAAAGGAAAAAATGATAAATTAGGTTTTATTAAAATTAAAAACATTTTTTCAGTGAAAAACCATGTTAAAAGAATTTTTTTTTTAGATTTTATTTATTTATTTGTCAGAGAGAGAGAGACAGACAGCACAAGCACGGTGAGCGGCAGGCAGAGGGAGAAGCAGGTTCCCCGTTGAGCAAGGAGCCTGATGCGGAACTCGATCCCAGGGCCTTGGGATCATGACCTGAGCCGAAGGCAGACACTTAACTAACCAACTAAGCCACTCAGGCATCCCCATGTTAAGAAAATTAAAAGACAAACTCTAGACCTAGAGAAAATGTTTGTAAACCACATGTTCAACAAAGTAAAAAACATGAAATATCAAACAATCCAATTAGAAATTAACAAAAGACTTAAATAGACATTTCTTTTTTTTTAAGATTTTATTTATTTATTTGACAGAGACACAGCTAGAGAGGGAACACAAGCAGGGGAAGTGGGGGAGGGAGAAGCAGGCTTCCCACGGAGCAGGGAGCCCAATGCGGGGCTCGATCCCAGGACCCTGGGACCATGACCCAAGCCAAAGGCAGACGCTTAATAACTGAGCCCCACCCAGGCGCCCCTTAAATAGACATTTCACTGAATATAATATACACTTGGCTAGTAAGCACATATGAACAGTGGTCAATAGTATTAGCTATCATGGAGATGTAAATTAAAATATCAGAATGACTAAAATAAACAATAGTGATAGCACCAAGTCCCCCAAAACAGAGAAATTTGATCACTCATACTTTGCTGGTGGGAATGTATTTTATAGTCCAACTGGAAAAGAATATGACAGTTTCTTTCAAAACCGTATGTGCATTTACCATATGATCCAGCTATTGTACTCCTGGATATTTATCCCAGAGAAATGAAAACTGTTCACCCAGAAATCTGTTCACAAATGTTCATAGCAGCCTATTTGTAATAGCAAAAGCTGGAAACAACCCAAATGTCCTTCAACAGGTGAATGGTTGGACATTGTTAAATGGACTACTACTCAGCAATAGAATGAATGAACTATGGATACAAGCAACACTTTGGATGTATCTTAAGGCAATCATCCTAAGTGAAAAAAAGGTGAAATGAAAAAGTTACATATTATATGAATTCATTTATATAACATTCATGAAATGACAAAATTACAGAGATGGAGAACATTAGTGGTTGATAAGGATTATAGAAGGTGGGATGGTGAAAACTAACATTGCCTATAAAGGGTAGTATGAGGGATCCTTGTGCTGGAACTGTTCTATACATTGATTACTGTGGTATTTACATGAATCTACATGTGTGGTAAAATTGCACAGAACTAAGTATACACACATACACACATAAATGAGGCACATATAACTAGAGAAATCTGAATGAGATCAGAGGATTGTATTAATGTCAATTTCCTCTGTGATACTGTATTATAATTACCCAAGGTGTTACCACTGGGGGAACTGGGTAAAGGAGTTATTTCTTATAATTGCATATAAGTCTGCAGCTATCTCAAAATAAAAAAGTTTTTAAAAACCCATAAAAAGACCAAAAACAAACAAAAGCAATACCTTACATTTGATTAATGCTTTTCTTTTTTTACTAAAAATCATTCCATACTGAACAACTCATCTCAAGAAAATGGACTATATTAATGATTTCCTCCAAATAGAAGATACTGAGTATTTTCCTAAATTAACTGGATGGATCTTGAAATTGGGATATTGATTTGGGGAAGTGATTTTCCTGAACCAGAGGGCTTAATCATGGGTTAAGAAGATTTGCATCAAACCAAGAATGCACTTTGCCTCACATCCCAAACGATGTTTATATGTTTTAAAGTTTTGAAACCAAATGAGAAAATACAATAACAAACATCAAATATGTTCTCCTGCCAAATTGTTGGCAAACCTTGTGGGATTGCCTACCATGTCATTCAAATCAGTTTACACTGGGTAGAGTGCAGCAAATACAAGTCCTTTTGAAAAACACCATTTCTGGAGAACTTGCAAGAGAATATGAGCGCTACTGAAAGGAAGGCTCTGGCAGAATTTAATTTCTGCAATCAATATTTCAACATGCAAGGAATGGGGGCAAGGTGCTCTGAAGCAGACATCACTTGATAAGAAAAAATGTGAAGAACCCGGATATGGAACTTGGGAAATAGCCAGAAGGAATTTTAAAAAGAAAGAGTTCACATTTAGTAATCTGGATATTAGATTTTAATTCTACTCATTTGCTTTTAAGCAGTTAGGTTAATCTGGAAAGGCAAAAGACCAAATGCCAAAGCTGTTAACAAGGTGAAATGGAAAAGGACGGCAAATGTTGACCCACACTGTCCAGGACCATAACCACCAGTCCCCTGTGGGTATTTAAATTAAAATTAAAGTTAACTAAAAATAAAATCCAGCTCCTCAGTTGGAGTAACAAATTTCCAGTTCTCATTAACTCCATGTGGCCAGTGGCTATCATACTGGACAGAACAGAAAACATTTCCATTTTCTCAATAAAGTATTAAGCAGCCCCAATCCAGACGATTAAGGAAAATACTACAAAGTTTTAAAACATTATTTTTATTTAAAAAGGACACAATTTTATAAAATGGCACCTCCATAGAAGTATTCCCATGGAAGCCTTGAAGGGGCAGGGTTAGAAAGGATCCTACATCATCAGGTGGAAACAGTGGTCACCTGCTTGAATCTTTCTGGTGGTCCAAGTCCATGTTTGAACACATCCTTTCCTGCGGCAAGTAATGATTATTTCCTTAATTCTTTTTCGGGGCAAAAGAAATATTTCTATACTTTGAAACTGTCTTTAGGTCTTTCATTATTCTGGCTGTTGACTCCTGGATACAACTCTGTATTCCAATTTATCCAGCTCTCTAATCAAATAACTGCACATGTTACTAAGATGCTCAAGACATAAAAGTGCCAAAATTAAGTGCATGTTTCAGGTGTTTGGAGTATAAAAGATTTATCTTTTCCTTTGTTCTAGACATTATATCTCTATTTTTACGGACTGAAATTACAAGGTGTCTTTTTAGTAGCCCCACCGATCAGTTTATTTGCAATGAGTTTTCAGTCAAATAAAATCCAGGTTAATGTGTCCCAACACTGCAGCTAATGGACATGTTTTGTGTCTTATTTCTACTAATGTGTCTATGAAGTGGATCAGCAGTGTACTTTTCAGTATATCAGGTGGCAAATTCATTAAAGTTTTGTGTTGGATGCAAATGCATGACCTTCTACCTCTTGACAGGAGAAATCAAGGATGCTTTCCAAGTCCTTGGAAAACTCTCATGACCATTTACCTCCAGCCCAATAATCATGAGTGTGGATGAGACCATTCTCAAGTCAGTCCAGCCATAGTAGTATCCAGTCCATGCTTCTCTGTTTTACCCACAAAGACATACCTGGTCATCTAGATTTTATTGAATTTCCTACAACATATTTCATATTCCCGAGAAAGGCAAAAGCAGATACTGAAATTTTTAAGTTTAAGATGATAGAGGAAGGCTTTTTTAAAAAAAAAAGAACTCATCAGCCCTGGAGAACTAAAGATGCACTTAGACTCCTGGCATGGCCAAATGGGCAATCTAGAATTTTATATTAAAGCAATGCTGAGAATCCTTTCTAATGATTCTGATTTTCAAAGAATACTAAAGGTGAGTTATTGGGTTATTGGGTTATTTTTACAACTTTCAACCTTAAAATTCACATCCTTCCGTGGATGTTCCTTGTGTGTGGTTCTGGGCTGCTCACCAGTGTCTTGGGCAGACCAACTTCCTGTTTATCCGAATTCTAATGAGTTTGGTATTTCCCACAGTCCTGTACCTCTTGTACAGAACTATTGGAACTGACTTTGGGACAGAAGCATTCAGCATTCTAAATGCTGCCCATACCACTGTCCAGCTGAGATGTTTTAGAACCAAGTCTTACACTGACTCATCAGTCCAGAGACAAATAGAGGAAAACTTGCAGCATCTGATCTCAAAGCAGGTGGCTATACAGTAATGATATAGCAGGTGCCAAGATCCTGAAAGGCAAGGTTCTAGAGAAACACTGTAGGACATAATTGTTTTTAATGTCTCTCCAACTTGAAAATGGTTTGTGTCCATGGCTTCCATTTTCAAATGTGCAATCCAGTCTGGGACTTTAAAACAGAGAATCTGACATACTGACTAATAAGTTTATGAACACGTGTTGAAAGGGCAAAGCATTAAATAGGTTGACTTCCCCTACAGAAAACAGGCATTTAAAAGGAGTCAGTCAAGTCAATGTTTCCTCTCCACATAGGAACATTATGTCCCAAACTGGGGAGAAATAATTCAGCAAGTAGGGGAGAAAATGCTTTCCAAATAGGGAACTCTCCTTAGGTTGTTAATGTCCCCTTGTTACATGCAGGGTCCTGGAATACAACCCATCTAATCTCAACAGTCCTACATGCGAGGTTTGGATAAAGATTTTGTTTTTTCCTCCAGAAATCTACATTTAAAATGTGATCTATTCAATTTTTATTAGGCTTCAAAAAAGGATTGTTGATTAGATTCTTCTCCAGCAGGACAACAAAAGAAAGAAACAGGATCCTTTAAATTCTTCTGAAGGGAGAACATGAAGCCACACAGAGTGCTAAGTTGCAAGGTCTGAGGGGGTGGAGGTGAACAGACATGGAGGACAAGGAGTAGGAGTGGCCAGTTCTCAGCCTGGAACAAAATGGGTGTCTGGGTTGAAATCTCCCTCTCTTTAGATAATTCTCAGTTGCTAGGAGTGTTTAAAAAAAAAAAAAAGCAAACCATAGTGGATAGATGGAAGTTTTTTATATGTCCCTCTCTTAGTGGTTTGGTACCAAACAATATTAATTTTTGGAGAGCATGTGGCCTGTTGTGTAATGCTAAGCGTAATACTAACATAGCATTGAATGGGCTAGAAAAGCATTTTTCCAATCGTATCCTAATAGACGGTCATCATAACCCTGTGAAGGGAATTTTTTCCCCACTTAACATGAAAGGAAAATAAGGCGCTGAGAGTCTACATGTTGCCTAGAGCTCTCAGTTAAGGAAGGAGAGCAAGGACTGGGGCCTCCTGGTTCCTGGGCCACCTGCTCATCTGTCTTCTCCAAAGACGTCAGGATACACGCGGGGAGCAGCCACACATCTGCACTTGTTGCCCCTTCTGAATGGTGATTGCCTCCTTGCTGCTAATGTCCTGTCATCACTCTGCTTACTCTGGTCACCATACTACATCACAGGAGACTCCCCCAAAAGCCTGGGGCCAGGAAAATGGTGCCACTAGTACATCAGGTTCTAAGCACAGGTCCCTGCCAAGGGACCCCCTACTCTGGGAGCCCTCTTTTGCTCTTCCCTCCTTCAAATGTCCAGCACCTTCTACTACCTGAGGCCAACAACCATCCTTTTGACTTTTCAGCTGCGTTGGGGTGCATGGCAAGGAGAATCTCACACAGAGACAGGAGCATGAGATGAATAATGTGAGCAGAAGTGTTCTTGGTGTCCCCAGTTGGAACTCAAATCCCATTTTTTTCCACAGAATCCATGTGACTGATGTTGACTTGCTAGTGAGTTTCAATAATTCTAGGAGTATCTAGTAGTATCTTGATTAGACATTGACATTATTCAGGGCTTCATGGATGACCCCAAGACCCTATCCATCATCGATAATATTGTTTCTATGGGAAAATGTGTTTCAAGTTGCTTAAGACTGTCCTCCAAAGAAATTCAAGCAAACAAACCCATTTGCAAATTGGGCACCATCTGCCTTCTAGCACTGGATGTTCTCCCACTCGCTCTCTTCGACCTAACCTGTTTTCTCATGTCCAACTTCTGGGTGGCCCGTGAGAATGACTGCGCCTCTGAGACTACAGCAGGCGTAAGCAATGAGTAGAGGGTGAAAGTTCTAGGGAAAGGTCCCCGCAGCAGAGGGAGGGAGTGAGGAGAGGGAAGGAGCCAGAGTTGGAATCATTCATGAGAAGGCAGGGATCGGGAAGCCTGTGCTGTGGACAGGCTCCAGGGAAGGCAGCCTTTTACGGGAATTAAAATCGAACTTGGAGGCAAGCAGGATGGGTATCTTTAAGAGAGCACAAGCTGTGGAAAAGGCAGAGCTGGGCACATTCTGTGACTGAGGAGAAGTGGCGATTTTAAGCTAATTATCTAACCTCTCAGAAAGTTTGGTTTTCTGATCTCTAGAATGGAGGTATCGTTAACTTCTGAGGGTGTTTGTGAAGATGAAAATCATTCTGTTCATGTGACCCACGCCAATCCCTGGCAGCACAGAGCAGACAGTTGAATATCATTCCTCCTGGCTCTCCTCCTTTGAGAGCCACAGTGTGGTACAGCAGGAAAGACTGGAGCAAAGAGGAGGGGGTTTGAGTTCCAGCATAAAATCGGCACCAGTGAGAGCCTGTGCACATTCTCCAAGGGTTGGTCACCCGTGCTGTTCAGATAGGACTTCCTCAGAGAGCTTTGGTGGGTACTTAATGAATTAATGTGTGTGAATGCTGGGACCAGCTGGTGCTTGAGAGGTATTATTATTTCAGGATTTCAACAGATGTGTGGTGAGTGCCCACTATGGGTCAGGCACTGTTCTAGAAGAATGAACCCAGGCAGGGAGAAGGAAAGCAACCGGCCTGTTATGTTTGATGGGGTAATGAGACTTGACCAGAGACCTGAGTGAAGAGAAGAAGGCGGCCAGCCATGAAACTAGCTAGGTAAAGAGGGGTCTAGGCAGAAGGAAGAGCAAGACTAAAGGCCAGGCTATTGGGAGCCTGTCTAGGCCTCGTTGAGAACCTGGGAGAAGGCCCTCGGATGGTTTCTGTGACTATGGCGAAGGGAGCAGGGACAGGATGGGCATGGGAGGGACCGGTGGCCCACGATGTGCACCCTACGGACCACAGAGAGGCCTTTCTACTGAGTTCTGAGTGCCCTGGAAAGGTTTTAAGGAATCCATATGGAGAAGGGACTGTAGTGCACGGACGGTGGAAGGTGAAGCTGGCAAGCTGGGGAGGCTCCTGCGGTCGTCAGTGGTACAGGCCCGATGGTGCTGGGTGGGAGGTTGTGAGGCTGAGATGCATCCCCATGGAATGTGCATTTTGAAATTAGAGCCAATAAGACTTGCTGATGGGTGGGTTGTGGAGAGCAATAGAAAGAAGGGAGCTCAGAACAAATCAGTGTGGCTGTTTTTACTCCAAGGGGGACCAGGTATTCACTGTGGGAGAAATAGTTTTGGGGAGTCGGGTTTGCTTTGGAGCAGGTTGGGTTTGATGTGTCCTTGGGTGTCTGTGTGACATAAGGCAGGTCCTGGGGTGTAAAAGGACACGGACCTGGGACATATGCTGCGGAGGCCTCAGCAGAGCCCAGTGATGAAGAATGCTTCTTACAGGATGGACTAAGAAGCTACTTGCAAGACACATCAGTGTTCGAGAGGTGTGGGACCAGATGCAGTGTCTGGAGAGTGAGAATAGAGAAGCACGAAACCTCCACCCAACCCAGGCAGCACTATGAAGGTCAGTGGGGACATGCTCCGAGGGTGGAAGTTGAGATGGCATGTCCTTAGGCAGAAGAGGCGCTTTCTAACCCAAAGTCTACATGTTTCCCTTCATTATGGCTTTTGCTTTCTTCTTCTAATTAATTAGGAAATGTTTCAAACACACCAAATACCGAAAAGAAAATAACGCGCACTCCACCCAAATGTGTAATTTGTGGCCATTTTGCCACTTTGCTATATTCACTTTGAATACAACTTGAAGTCTCACCCCCCACCCCTTCCCTTCCCTCCCAGCAGCTTTAGTGAGCTAATGAGAACAGCACCCAGCAAATGGAAAGTTCTCAATGAAGTCAGGCACTGTGGTGGTGATGGACGTGGCTGTTATTGTTATTATCATGATGACGCATATCCTCATGCATTTTCTAGCTTGTGTTACATAAATGGATCTTCATGACAGTGGACAGTGCAGTTTTCTACCTTTTCAAAAAAGAATTAACATAGATGGTTAATTTTCATACTATATTTTTCTATACCTAGCTTTTTCCACTCAACATTGTGTTTTTGAAATGTCATATTTTTTCTCTCTCGATTCCAACACAGCTTAGAAAGTAAGAGTAATGGGGGAAGCAAATAGACTCTCTTTTCTCTGCAAAGAGAGGAAGTTGGGGGTGCTTGGAAGTCCCCACACACACACCTGCTCTCCAGGCTCCTCTCTATCTTGTCCCCCTTTACCTGACTGCTTGCCTCCACTAGGGCAGAGGAAGGCCCGGCTCACTCAGTGTAGTAACAATATTAAACGCTAGTTTCGCAGACCATCTGGTCTGATAGCCCCCAGCTCGTTCCACTGCTTGGTCTCTAACAAGGAGCTGAAAGTGGGTGACAAGTCCTCAACCCCAAGGAGTTTAGAACGCTGGGGCAGCCTCCTTTTATTAATGAACGGACAAACACATTCACTTCTACGAGCAAAGTGAAAAGTCAACATAGACGTAATACTTGCTGGTTACTGTTATTTTCCTGCTCTCTCGTAGTCCAATTACCTGTTTTATTTTTATTCCAGAGTCTTAACAGAAGAGGCAATGTTTGGATTTAAGCTCCAAAGAGATGAGGGTAGACAGAGGGCACATTCCACATAAGGATCCGGGCGTGAATTTCAAAGTGGCAATTTGACCAATGTCCTCGTGGAGCTTAAGCTGGAGGACAGGACTGGTTTTCAAGACCCGGCTGCCAGGATGTGGCAGAATGGCAACCTCCGGGCTCGAGGTATTGAAGCAAGGCCACCATGAGACCAGCTGGCCCTCTGTGGTGGGTGGCTTTCTGTGGGGGGTGGGGGAGTGGGGGGGGAAGGGAGGTGTTGTTGCTACTGCTCTTGTGAAGTTTAAGTTCTGGGCCTTCTTCCCTTCTGCCAGCCTTGCTCAGGACCCAAGGAGAGATGGATGGTGAACTGCCCAGCATGGGCAAAAGCCTTGCAGCTGAAGTCCCCAGGCCACGGTCACGGCCATGGCGAGGAGGGGAGATCAGGCCCGAAACTTCAGACCTGAACCCACTTTGGAGGGGGAATGGTCCTCGAGGTGAGTAAAAGAGCCAAGCTCCCTCTGCCTAACCTTTCCCTGGAATGAAGCGCTTTTCACATTTCAGGCGATTATAGAAGAGCTGGGGGAAGGCGGGGCATGTGAGAATCAGCTTGAAGCAGGGAAGCCACACTTTGGCCTCTAAGTGGGGGCAGCTCAGGGGTGTCCCCTGCAGCCTCTTTGCCCCGCCCCCCGCCCTGCACCACTTCAGGCTTCTCTCCCCTGTCCTGATGCTCTGAACTTAAAGCAGCGGGTGCCTGAGTCCTAAGGAATTTCTCTACCTACGAATGCCTCACACACCCTGTCACCTTTGATCCTTTGCCATTTGCATTTGTAGGTTTCCATTGGATCCTGCACTCCGAGTTCACTCCAGAATCTATTTTTGTGTTTTTCTTTCCTGTGTTTCCCTTTCCCTGCCCAAACCTCCTTTCTTCTAAGGCCCCAGCTCACAGAGCATCTTCCCTCCTTTGTATGGGGGAGGGGGGATTCCTTTTCATTCAACTGGGTTTTTTTTTTTTTAACTATGCATGACACAAAGATTTGAGGTAAAAGGTGCCAAAGAAAAATAAGATAGGAAAATCTAGTGGATTTGGAGGTGAAGGAAAGCAAACTTGCATCCTGCTTTCTCTAACCTCAGACATACTTCTTTTCTTGGCCAAGTTCTCCGTTACTCACCACAGTGCTCTTATTTTGTGCCCTAAGGGACAGGCAAAGGCTCCTTCCTGCTCAGCACATGCTTAATACTAAAAAGAAATACCCTTTCTTTGTCTAGCAATGCACTTGTGGAAAGACAGGGCACCTGGGAGGCCAAACACTAGAAACCCAGGGCCAGTTCTTCCAAAGACTGACGCTTCATGAGCGGTTTCCAAAACAACCTGAATCAGGAAAAAAACAAACAAACAAAAAACCAACCCCACATGGTAGCTCTTTGTCTTGAGCTGTGTACTTTCTGAAAACCATTTCTCTAGCCTGCAGCAAGCCTGGGCTTTGGTTGTGAGGCCCAGAGATGTAGCTTCTTCACCCAATGCTTGCAAAATGTTTATAGTGAACTCAAATACCTTCCACAGATTACTCTGATTCTCCAACTGATTTCTCCACCAGCTGTTGTCTGCCTGATTCATTGTGCAGATTTCTTCCTGGTGTAGTGGATATTCCCTAGTTACCCACCATAATGCTCAGCCTTACAGGTGTATAGCATGTTTGTAATGCTTGTTCATACACTCCCAGGGAAAAAAATCATAAAATACAATCTGATGTGTAATTTTCCTAAATACTAAATGCTTTGCCCTAAACTGTTAAGATAGTGTATCAGCTGAAGGATGCCAGGAATTACTTCACCTCTTGTATATGTACCTGTTCTAGATTATGTTCATTTTCAAATTAATTTCAAAGCCAGCTGTGATTTTTGTTAGAAGTAATCCTTGATGGTATGCTTTAGCAACTATCATTTCAAACTTAAAGAGACAACTTGCTGCACCATCTAAGGAATTCAAACTATACAGTGTTTGGATTGTTTATTATGGTTTTACATTTTGAGCTTAAGTCTCCTTAATCATATCGTCTGTAACACTTAATAAAGTTTTAAGGAAAAAGGAACGTACTGTCGGAACTTTTGAGTGATTTATTTTTCCTTACTTTTTCTACTGTAGTCATTTAGTTATCTCTACAATGATGCTAAACTAGAAGGGTAGGTTCCTATGCCACGGGGCTTATGGGAAGTTCAAGCTGGGAATGAAAGTACCTACGTAATCTGAATCCCAGAAGACAACCCCGCTAGCTGCCACAGTTGTCTATTTTGACCCATCGAATGGGGCACCTGCCTAGCTACTTAATGAGCTGAGTCAACTCTGACAGAGCTGGGAGGAAGTCTCTCCTTCAGAGGGGACACTTCTGAGGCCACCCTCCATTTTCCCTTCCTCATGTGAAGTGTTAGTACTTTAAAAGAGTTGGGTTTTTCTTTTTTCTCTTTTCCACATGGAATTGACACAGTGATTAATATGAGAGAGAGAAAAGAAGGAAGGAAGGAAGGAAGGAAGGAAGGAAGGAAGGAAGGAAGGAAGGAAGGAAGGAAGGAAGGAAGGAAGGGGAAATGAAAGAAAAAAGGAAAGAAAGAAAGAAAGAAAGAAAGAAAGAAAGAAAGAAAGAAAGAAAGAAGGAAGGAAGGAAGGAAGGAAGGGGAAATGAAAGAAAAAAGAAAGAAAGAAAGACAGAAAGACAGAAAGAAAGAAAGAAAGAAGGAAAGAAGGAAGGAAGAAAGAGAGAGAAAGAAAGAAAGAAAGAGAAAGAAAGAAAGAAAGAAAGAAAGACATCTTTAGGCTATGCCATACACTTTACTTCAAGTTAGGTTTCCTCAGAAAATTTGAAACCTCAGAAATGTTTTTCACTCAGGCCATAGACAGATGTAAATAATAAGTACATAGATTCAAAGTCTTCCAAGTAATGCAGAAAACAAGGCAGCCAGTATTCCAACAAGGGCAAGACCTCACTTGTATGCTTTTTAGGACTCTTATCACTGTCAATTTTAGCTTGATGAAAGTACTACCATATGTCAGAGACAATGCCGTATGTTCACCAAAAACAATTTATTTTCCTTCTGGGCATACAGGAAGACACAGACCTGTACCCCTGAAACAAATAATACATTATATGTTAATTTAAAAAAATTTTTTTTAATTAACCTATGAAAATTTTTTAAAAATTTAAAAAAAGGAAGACTACATTTCCCAGTTTCTTTTGCAATTAGTTTTGGGCCGTGAGTCCTGGATTCCATCCAGTGCAATGTAAGCAAAGTTTTGTATGCCACCTCCAGGCCTGGCTGCAGCCTCCCTCCTCCTGCCCAATCTGTGCACTTCTCTGCCCCTTATTTGGTTTCCCTGGGACCACATGATGGTGGCATCACAGCAGAAGGCTTGTGGGTGCCTGAAGACTGCGCAAGATGATGTCCTCTCCCTCGCGACCCTATTGGACTGTGATGGGGGCAAACAAGGAATAATTATTTGAGATGTAGGGGCTGCTTGTTATAGCAGCTAGCATTACTGAGCCCAACTAATTTGCACCATATTAAATCACAGATGTTCTCTCTTGATTATTTCCTGCCTCACCCATAGCTGTCATATAAGGTAAACATTAGGAAAATATTTCATCTACGTGGGTGCTTCGTCTGTCTCCCTACCTGCTGTTTCTCCCCTTAGTCCCTGCTTCCCCAACACACACACACACCCCTTTCCCTTTCCCCCGCCCCTTTTTTTGGTTTTGAAATGGCAAGCAAGCCTGTCAGCAAAGACCCCTTGGGCTTTAAGGACATCAATCAGCTTCATAGCTACACATAAAGTTCTTTCCTTCGGGAACTTTTTTTTTTTTTTTTTGAGCAGTCACAGAGCGAAGTCAAGGATATAGCTAGCTGCTTGTCATAAGCCTGAATGAATAAGAGGGAGAAATTTTATATCCACTGCACCCTGTCACTTTCTGTCTTTTGAGCGTCCACTCTGCCTGATTTGCTGCATTAATATACCAACTACTCGGTGGTCACCACTAAAGCCTGAGCTTTTAGGAAAGGGACTCATGCTTATTCCCTTTTTATCCTCAGTATTTGGCACCTACTAGGTGCTCAAAAAATGTTGGCTATTGTCTAGCGATAAGATTATAAACCAAGAAACAAATCGGCTTTGACTCTGTCAAGAGGAATTAGGGCAATTTCATGGGATGGGGACAGCTGTCTGGCCACTCTCTTTGTCCACGGTTATTTGAATCCCAGATCTGATACCTAAAGGAAATGAAATGTTAAATATAAATACCACCTTTTAATTCACCTTCACATAACTTATTTTTCCCTTGGCTCAAAAGAAGAAGGAGGAAGAGAAGAGAGAGGAAAAAGAAAAGAAAAGCTTGTTAAGAGGCCCATTCTCCTTT